AACTTTTTAGTAATTTGTATTTTTTCTGTATTTTTTTTTATTAAAAATAGTATTAGTAATATTATAATAGAAATTATAATTAAATAAAGTAGATTTAAATAAAGAATTATAATTTAAAAATAAATAACAGTTATATTTCTGTTATCTTTATTATTAAAATAAAATTATATTTTATATTGATATTCTTTTTTTTTTAATAAATATACTATAGCAACTTATAATAAAATTAAAATAAAAGTTTTTTATTTTTAATACAAACTAAAATATTAAAAAATAATCAAGAGAAACAAACAATTATTTATATTAAAGTTTTAATATTTCAAAATAAATATTAATAAAATATTCAAATTAAATTTTGAACAAAATTTTCTTTAAAGGTATTATTATTAAATTATTGGTAATTAATAAATTAAACTTTTTTTATTATTTATTTAGTTATAAGATATTTTTTTTAAAAAAAATGATCTCTTTGATCTTTTGACTTTTATTAATGATTTTTTTGATAATGTAATTTTATAAACCATTACAAAAAAAGTATACAATTGGTTATATGTATAACTTTTCTATATTACTTATTTGAGAAGTCTGCTTAAAGATTCTTTACTAATTGCTATATCTAATATCTTTGCTTAGATATTCTATTTTAAATTTTTTAAACCTGTATCTGTATTAACATTAATAAGTTATGCTTAGATTATTGTCTTAACCTTAGGACTATTTTATCTTTAAGATAAACCTCTCAGAGTTTTGGGTATTTATTTTTATAGTTGATCTAATATTGCTATAGCAGAACTAACATTTGCAGTTAAAGTTATATTATTTAACTACTATATTCTTGTAGAGTTTATTCAAACTATAGCATTTACTTCATAAAATATTTTTAGTATGTTAATATACCTCTGCCTGTTCTTCAGACTCTTAATTCAAATAACCTGTATAAAACTATAACCTGTCTATTTGTATATCAAATTAGTCTGATATCTTTTTTCTTTGATTTATTTTAGTAATCTAGTTAGTAATACCTTTAGGATTTCTACTTAGAAGTTTTTGCCTGTTTGGATACTTTGATATTGATATCTGTTTTTTTAGTTTAGTTTTTATAGTAGTGTTATTAAAGATTTATGCTACTTTCTATTTAGGTTTTTCTAAATAAACTTTTTTTTTAATTTTAACAAATTTATATAGTCACAAGGACTTATCTAAAGTTTGCATTGCCTAATGCTAATTTGTATTTCTTTGTATAATTAGTTGTATAGATGCTTCATAAGTTGCCAGTTATATTGATATAATCATTATTATAGATATTTTAATCTAATTATTAAAAAAGTTGTTATAATATAAATATTATATATGTGATTATTCAAATTTTTGCTATCAATAAGATTTGAATACCTAACCTACTACTTGAAGATTAACAACTTATTTATTTTACAAAGTTACTATATCTCATAAGATACTTTTTTATATTATATATATTATAAAAAACTATAAAAAATTTATTAAAAAATTTTAATAATTTTAATATTTATTTTCTTTAAAATTGAATAATTTTGGAATTAGAGTTCATAGTCTAGTAGTCTAGATACTCTTTTTTACAGACAAAGTCAACAATTTAATTCTAGCTAAAGATAAAAAAACTTTGTAATCTTCAAAAACATATAAATATATGCAAAGCCCTATAGCTAAGTCAGGATCCTGAGCTATTAGTATATAGGTTACAAGAAGTTAAAATTTTTTTATAATACCTCTAAGCATGAATTTTTACTAATATTAATAAGCATTATTAGTATATAACTTTAAAATTTTATTAAAAATAAGCAATAAATTATCTAACTTATAAAAAATATCAAAGAGTATAAAAATTTTTTGTATATCCACATTTCCATGTAATCTAACAATTACTGGATATATAAACAATAATAGATTTCATAGTTCTGTGGCATTGCATTACTGGACTTTAGATGTCATTTGGCATTTGGATTTTGTCATTTTGATAACTTTGCATCATCATTTTACTAGAATTTTGCTAGTTGTTTTCTGATGTCTTTCTAATGTTCTTGTGGCTGTAGATTTCATTGCTTAGGTGTTCTGTGTTGTCAAATTCATATGTATAATTTCTGTCATTTTAAGTGCTATTGTTTTGATATTGTTTAATGAATAGACTACTGATGGGCTTACAAGAACATTATACTGATTTTCAATGAATAATCTTGGATTAAAAGAGAAGAGGCACATTGTAAGAACACCAATTGAATTTTTGTGCCTTAATAGTAACAAACTTAGAGGATTTGTAACTATTTATTAGCCAATTGGCTAGACAGAATTAACAGTTCATTGTGGGATGTTGCACTTAAACTGATTCATGATTTAAACAAAAATGTACAAAAACTTATCCAAGAATTGAAGCATTACAAATTGGTCATAAGAATCCTTCATTATTGAACTTTTATGGAGTATTTTGGTGATTATATTATTGTTACACAATTATACCAGAAAATTTATTATGCCAAATCTTATACAAGTATCACAACTAGGATAGAAAGATAAATTAAATATTTTGTATAGTATAGCTTTGAATTTTGAGTTGATTCATTCATAGAAACTCATTTACAAAGATTTATATAACAGAAATATTCAACATAATTTGCAAAATGCATATATTACTAACCTTGAACTTTCTAAAAAAGTGAATAGAAGAAAAGCTTTTGGGATTCTGCTATATGTAGCATCTGAGATTTTAATGGGTCAGCTATACACTTAAGCATCAGATATTTATAGTCTTGGAGTTATCACAACAGAGATTTTGGGTAAATAAAAAGAAGAAAAAGCATTAGCAACCTTGGAAAAAAATATAGATGAACTTGTTTAGACCTGTTATTTGTTATGCAGTTTTTTTTGGCCATGTTTTGCAAGTTGTCATTGGCTAACTAAATTTTATCTAATATCTGTCAGATAAAAATTTGTTTATTTCAACTAATAAGTGAATTTCATGTCTAATCAAACTCAGTTTTTTCAAGCATCTAGGCTGTCTATTATAAATGCAAAATGTGAATATACTTTTTAATGATGTAACTCTCATTTGTGTGCTTGGCCTAGGCCTTGTGAAAAGCATTAGCAGATGCAACACTCAAGACTAGTTGTTGATTAGGACTTAATTATGGTTTCAGAGATTGGGTTTAGAGTTAGAAATGAGTGAAATGAATTAGGTTCAGGGAAAGTTAAAAATGGATTAAATAGACATTAGAATTAGGAATAGGTAAACCAGGTTTTGGAATTAGAAATGTTAAAATAGATTTAGAGTTAAAGATGGTTAAGATATTATTAGTGCTTAAATTAGTGAATATATTGTATATAAATTAATAAAAATAAAAGATTTTAATTACAGTACAATAAATATAATAAATATATTATATTAAGTTATATATGCTATTATATATTGTATTATATAATGCAAGTATATATACTTTTGGGTACATGTATATTAACTATTATTTTTATTAATAACTATTTTAAACTTTGCTAAAAAATAATTTTTATTAAAAAATTATTTTTTGAACAACATCTTCCTGATTAAAGTAATCAAAATATTTTTTTCATTTTTTAGCAACTTCAAAACATTTTCATCAATTAATACTCCTAACTTATTAATATGATAAATAATATTAGAAGCTATATAATGTGTTAAAAGACTACAACCTTCTTTTAAAATATCACTAAACAAATTCAAATAAATAGGTAAGTAAATTTGTAATGAAATATAAGAAATATCATTCAAATTTGTAACAGGTTCATTCGTATATCAGTGATTAATATAATTTTCAAAATATAATGCTATAACTTTTTCAATACACATGGTTTCACCATATAGAACAAAAACATAATCACCTTTTAATAGTAGAAAATTATCTAAAATGTTTGCATTTTGAATATTAGGAACTATTAAATAATCATTTTAAAATTAAAAATAAAATTTAGTAATATTAAACCTTAATAAAATCTAAGTTTAAAATTTTAAAAATACATAATCTAAATACATACTTAAAATTAAATTTAATTGAACATTTTTTTTGGTTGAGGTTTTCTTTTTTTTTGATTTTTCAATTTCTTTGGAATGTAATTGTGCAAGTATTATTAACATATTTCTCTGATTTTCCTTTCATTGTTTTTCTCTTTGTTTAATGAATCATTATTCAGGATTTTTATTTTTTGTGAAATATGCAGTTAAATGACTAGCCTTATTTGGAAGAACAGAGCCTATCATATTGACTTTAATAGTGCTTGGTGCTTTCAATTTAACCTTCCATTCAAGTAATTTAGAACAATATGCATTATGCAATTTACATTGATTAAGTAAAAACTCAAAATTCAAAGTATTTTTTGAAAAATATCGATAATCTAGATTAACTATTAATTTATATTTTTATAAAATAACAATCAAAGATGTAATTTCAAATTGCAATCTAAATTAAATATAATTTAGATTGTAATTTAAAATTATATCCTAACTGTTATTATAAAATATAGCAATCTAGTTAGTAAATATTATAATAGAATCGAGAAAATAAGACTTCAGGCTTTTAATTTTATCAATAATTGTTTATCAAATTTAGACCACAAAAAAATCTTATAGTAATATATATGATATATATTTACAAATTTTTTATAGCCTAAATTTGATAAATAATTAAAAGCCCAAAGCTTTATTTTTCTATAAAATTAATTAAAAATTCTAAAGTACTTAAATACTATATAAGCATGAAATAATACCTATTTGCATGTTAATTAATTAACTATGTATTATTTTGAATATGCCCATGTGCGTTATTTTGAAATAATGATTAATTTTTTAAATCTGATACAGTCAATATTTTATAAATGCATGTGATTAGAAAAAGTGCACAAGCATTATTTCAAGCTTATATGGTAGCAATAAAAAATTATAATAAATACTTACCACTATCACCATTATTTAAGATTGATAAAGAACCTGATTCCAAAGGTTAATTAATAATTTTAAGCTGTCTTTGACTATTTTGAAATATATTATTAGATGAAAAATCATCATTGTATAAATTATTACTAAATTGATCTACTTCTTTCAATGGACTGCTTATTGCAGAAGAAATATCATCAATTTCTTGAATATCAGCTAGGTTTGTATCATTATATATATATGATGTTGAAACTTCATTTTCGTGTAAACTAACAGTAAGTAAATTATTTCTATTAATAAACAAATTCACAAATTGAATCATATCAAGAGATTTAGAAAGTTTACATGCTAAATAATATAAATAATGAATGGTTTGTATAATTTGCTTGTCAGTAGGCCATAATTTTAGTTTTTCTAAAATTAATTTATCTAATTGTTCTTTATTATAATCAAAAAGGTAACCTATTAAAAAATATATATATATATTTTTTTTTCATTTTGGCAGTTTTGCTGATACTTTTTATTAAAATTTCTGTTTATATATTAACAAACATTTTTAGACTTAATGAGCTGAGTTGACATCCTGCAGTTACTTTTATGAGCACTTACAAGTGATCTGCTGCATCAGTTGCCTAATTTTCTAAAGAAAAAAAGGGGATCTGGAGGGCTCATCCAACCACTGCTCTACAATAGAGTATTACCAATCTGATAACACTTTCTTGTAGAGAAGTGAAAGGAAAAAAAACACTAAATTAAACTAAACTAAAAGAGATACTGGAAGAAAAAAGAAAAGAAAAAAAAGTGTCAGAGAGCATACTTTATTTATGACCATTTAGGACACTAGCACTTTAAACCTATGCTAAGGATCTAACTACACTTTAACCTGTGCTAAAGGGGTAAAAATTTTATATACATGATTTTAGGAATTACTATATATCTCTAATTTGCTATAATTCTTCAACTTAAATCCTTCTTCATTTTTTCATTACACCATATGTTAGGCTGTACATATGATTGTTGTGTTTCTATTACATTATGTTACAACATGTAACTGTCTGAAAAAGGGAGTGGTAAACAATGCCAATTTTTTGTAAAAAGAAAGCCAATTTTTTTACTTTTGAGTAAAAAAAACAAAATAAATAAAGAAGGTCAACAAATGTAATATATGAAAAGCCAAACCAAAGAGAGTGTTTCCAGTTGTTTGTTTGTTTTCAAGCTTTTGATAATTTTTAACCAAACCTTTTCTCTATTGTTTTTAGAATGTCCTTTCAGTTTGGATAGTGTTGTTATTTAGATATATAAACTGTCAAATTTGGACCAATTGGACTTAAGACTAGGGCTAAATGGACTTAAGGCTAAAGGCTAAAAAAAATATTGAATTTAAGGCTAGTAACAACACTGGGTTTGAATACTAAACATATTAAGGAGTCTACCAATAGACAAGGCTTAATCTCAATACAAACCACCAGAAGAGTCATCTACATTTTGGTTTTTTCACATACTTCTAGTTTGTTAGCAACAATTTGCTTTATATATCTAAACAGAATCAAAGATATCATTATCTTAAAAGAATAATTCTTCAAACTGTTTTGGTGCTAGTTTGGTTTAAGTGATCATCAGGAAGAGTTTGTATTGAATTTTGAAAAAAAAAAATATATATATATATAAAATAAGCAGTATATTTAATAATTTAATATAAACAATAGCGAAAGAATATAATGTATCCCACACATGCTATTGTATAATATTTATGTTTTTCATAATATACTGTTGAAAATCAAATTACCTTGTCTAACTGATTTTTCTTTATCAAAATTTAATTTTTGATTCTGTAAAGCCTTATTATAATGACAAATCTTTGGAATTATTTGCATCAATTCAGCAAAGTCAAAATCAGCATTAATTTGATGAGCAATGCCAAAAAAATGTTTGCAGGGTTCAGAACCATAAAACCAAGATAATAACAGAACTTGCAAATAAAATTTATGATGTGCTTTTATTAACAAAACCATTAACTCAGCAAGTAATATAAATATAATAAAACTTTGTTGAGATAAAAAATTTGTTCTTAATGAAACAAAATCTAAATACTTTGTTGCTAATGTTTCAATATAAAATTTCCACAGATGAAGAAAAAAATAGGTAGTCATTACCATACGAATATGTTCAATAGGTGTGATATTACAATTAAGATAGCTATCTATTAATTCTCTTGCAATATAAAATAAATTAATATTATATGTTCTATAATAATAAATATATAAGACCTTCACTATAAAAATAACTATAAAATATAGTAATTACTATATTTGATAAAGTTATTTACAAGGTGAAGATTTAAATAATATTTAAAATTAAAACTAACTTATTACAAACAAATATACTGCAAATTTCTTTATATCCGATTCAACTTCATAATTTTTTCCAAGATATTGTTTAAAGTTTGATGAACAAAATGCTCAATATGCTGCACTATTATTCTGCCAATCTAGTTTAATGACATCATTTTTATACATTATTGAATTATATCAATTTATAAGATTTAAAAAGTGCTAAAATCATGCTAATGACTTTCCAAATGTTAATAATTGTGCACCTAACATTACAGCATTTCATGCAGTTTTTTTTGCATGCTTTGAATCTTGTACATGAATTATAGGACCAACACCATCCAAAATAGGGCATGAAAAATTAATATTTAGAGCAGACTCACAAAATGTTAGCTTTTCAGAAGTTTGAGTATTAAGAATTGACTGTTATACCTGAAATTCTGTAATTGTACTATCTGATCCTAATGATAAAATATAAAGATATAGTTGTGGTACAATTTTTTCAATTAATTTTTTATATAGCTTTTTAATATCTTTAGCAGTATCAGATCCTTTATTTGGAATAAGTGCAATAACAACTGGTAAAAATTTTAGCAAAAGTATCTTTAATTAAAGATTAAATTAGTATTTATTTAATAATTATTAATCCATATGATAATAAGCCATTGTCTTAAAATAATCTGATAAAACATAGTAATTATTATATTTTTAAAATTATTCTTAAGACAAAATCCATTTAACATACTTGTAAAAGATATACATGAACAGTTTTAGCAATTCTGTTTGATGTTTTAATTTTTGTAATTACTTTTGAAATATCTGAGTAAATGCTTATTCATATTTCTTCTTTTGAAAGAATTGATCTAATAATACACCCAAGTATAGAAAAATATTTTAGTTATAGTTTTAACTTAGTATTGTCTGTTATTGCAATGATTGAACCATTATATTGAATTATGTTAATAAGCTATTTAAAACAAGCAACATTTTCAAAACAAAGATCTAGATCAGTTAAATAATTTTTATTATTACAGTATAATTTTCTAATATATATCGAATGTAAAATTCAAAATATATGTTGAAATACTATTAAGATTTCAACTTTTCATTGCATTGCAATAACTAATATCTAAGCAACTGAATTTCTCTTTTTTCCAAGTTTTGATGAAATAAATCTAAGGCTCTTGGACTAATACTTTCCAGAATAACTAAAAAATTTGTAAATGCTTTACTATATTTTAAATTTTGTTTATTTTTATTCTTAGCTTTTTATTTAGCAGCATCACTTATTACTTTGCAAAGTTCTAAAAAGACTAGTGAATCTTTAAATGCTTTGTTTATAGCTTATTAGCCAATATAATCCAAAGATTTGATGCTTGATCTTCATTATCATTATTAAGTAAATTCCTTATATCATGAAAATCAAGATTTTGAAGATGATTTTTCAAGAAATTATTTTCTCAATAAAATTTAAGTATAAATTTAGCATTTTCTGGTGCTAATATTTTTCTTAGAATTCTATTATAGAGATTTTTATCAAATTAAATATAATGATATTCATTACAAATATTGTCTTTTTTTGCAATTTTTGAATACGTCTTAGCATGTACAGCATTACATATTTAGAATAGTAATAATTATAATTTTATTTTATTCAAATTAAATTATTAATAATATGTAGTAATTCATATAACTTACTATTTCAATCTATTTGCCAAGTAGACTCTGCATATAAAGCATGATTTAATTTTTGCTTTTGATCATAATTTAGCTTTTTCTTACTAAATTTCTGAAAAAATAATTTTAAAAAAATTTCATATACAACAACTTCAATATGGCATAAACCACCAAATTATGCTGGAGTATATTTAATATAATCAGAAATTTGTTCAAATTGAAGACCTTGGCAAATTAAACATTTTTTAGACTTTTGTCTATCACTTAATGATTCATTATTTATGAGAATAGTCAATGCTAATGTATCATTATTTACTTCTTCTGCTTTATCTGTTTCATCTATTTGTAACAAATCAGCATCATCCATATTATCATAAATGTCTGAATTCTATTCTTCATCTAAACTTGCAAGTTGGTTATTAGTAGATTTAAAAAAATTATTAATTGATCTTTGGCCCTTCTTAGCTTTGTGACCAGAACTTTTAGCATGTCACTCTAGATAATCTTCTTCCTATTTTTGATGCAATTAAAATTTTTTGCTACATATACATATAACCTTTTTTGGATTAATAATATAAGCACAAAACACATATTTTAGTCGTCATTTTTTATTATATTTCTACTGTTAACCTACAAAATGACTATAACTCTTAAATTACTAAACAGAATTCGATAAAACCATCACCATTCGAATCAGCTCACTGAGGTGGTTCTAATGAGATATAGATCATCCATTTCTAATCACAGGATCACAAGATCGAATCCAATAACCAAATTAATAAGGAAGTTGTGATCTGATTGATTGAAGGATGACTGCGCAAAATATCATACATATAACATATATAATATTTATTATTTTTTTTTGGTATTAAGGTAACCTTTTTGGTCTTTTGACTTTTATTAATCACTTATCAGTATTGTGATTCAATGAACCACTACAGGAGAGTATACAATTGGCTACAC